AGCTGTTTTTAAGGGGGAAAATGCAGTGCTAGAGAAGAGGACCATCATTACAGTTCAATTGCCCAGGACTCTGTTAGCAAATCTCCATAGCTAGCAATATTCTGGCCCTTGGGCTGGCTGTTTGTGGGTCATCAGTCACTGGTAAAGACAGAGTTGTGTAGTCTACATCCATATTGACAGATAGGTTGGAATCAGAATATAAAATATCCACTTCCCAGATCTAAGATTCATACTCTGCAGGGCTCCACAAAGATTTATCCAGATTTGCTTAACTTAGTTTAGTTCAATTTTGCTAAGCTTTAAACCATTCTTTATTCAGTGAGTATAAAATTCTTATTTTAAGTAAATAGTTTAATGTAATTTCATTAAGCTATATAGTCTTTAGGCCACAGTCATCTCTATATCCATAAAATATTTCACAGTAGATCAGATATTAGCATTATCAATGGCTTTTCTTGTAAGGAAATGTAGACTATGACTTACTAGTATCTGAAGTAGTATCAAGAACCAGCACCTTCAGCAGATATCCCTCCATTCTGCATGGATTAACAGTTGAATCTCTGCATGTTTAGTTCCTTTCTTTGTTTATACTTATTAATTTTATATTTTATTATGTTATTAATTTTTAATTTCATAGTGATTCAATAATTATTATTGCTCTTATCCTTATTAATTATTTCTCAGGCACACTATTCCTTGGCTCAGTTTCCTAAGGTGATTCTCCATTATGAAAACTTTCTATGTAGTTTCAGAAACAGCTACTCAGCTTCCTGGGAATTGCAAACATGACCAGGACATTAAAAGGGTACAATAAGAGGACCTTCCCCCAAGGGATATCTTAAGGGTTGCTGAAAGGGAACAAATATATTTAAGTTCTACCAGCTACTGCCTCTGGAGCAGTTTGAGGCAGATGAAACTGAAAAGAAGGACTCCTTATGGCCTGAAAGCCACTACGTATATTTGATTTCCCTTACACATCCCACAGTGCTGGCAGTGCCTTTCAATCACAAAGGCATACTGCTGTCTACCTAACCCATTGCTTAAACACCTTCTATGATCTGAGGAGACTGTGCAGTGTGAAGGTGTGCTAAGGTAGAAAATTACTCTTCTCAGTTTACTCACAGTTGGCCACAGCAGCAACAACCAAAAAAAGAATATGTGACCTAGACACTGACTTGCAAGAAAAGCCACTTATACTTTCTGGGGGGAAGCAAAATCATACAGACTGACTGGAATACACATTTTTCCACTATAATATTGGTTTTGGTGTGGACGTTGCATCAAAATCATGCCAGCCCAGCAGATCTGACATTGTTACCAAAGAACATGTGTAAGAGAGAACGCACCATCACGTGCATATATACCAGTACGTTCACTTCATATGCAGAGGTAGAGCATTCAACAAGCAGCACTTTTGGTGCCTTTATCACGCTTGAATTCCTGGTTAGGCTAGACTTACAAACACAAAGAACATTACCTTTGTTTCAGGAAAAAATGTTTATCCCTTAGGAAGCCTTCAATACCTGTTCTTTCTTTTGCATTACAAAAATCTGTCCATTGTATGGATCATGTGCACATCTATATTTAGCTCTGGCCTGAAACTAGCATCATACCTTAATTTGTTACTCAGCCTCAGCAGAATCACAATACTACAAAGGTTTCATATACTCCTCCTAGCCACTCTCTGTGACATTCACAGTGTATATCAGAATGAACAAGAGCTTACCTTTTATGTACTGCGAATTAATTATTAGAGCAACATTCTTAGCTGCTTGCCTATCCCCTTCCCCAGCTGAGATGACTTCATGAGTATGTCTCCTCCGATCCGTTCAAACACCCAGTCAAATAGATTAAACCACAGCTTACCTGGCTTTGAATTCGAAATGGAATACAAGAGAAAGGAGGCCGACAGCTGGATGTTTGGCTTCAGCTGGGAAACAACAGCACATCCTCTGCTGGCTGCCTCCTAGCTGAAGCTCACATCTGCTAGCGCAAATGTTTTTTTCCATTCTGCCTCATTAGCCAAGTTTATGCAGGTGGTTCTGATCTCAGCCAGGAAGGGCAAAAACCAACATCAACCCTTCCACATTTAGACCAGCAACTGCTGCAACTTCCAACTGCTGCCTTTTCCTCTGCTGTTTTCCACTGGTGAGAAAGCCAATAGTCAGCAACGGAGTAACAGAGGGAAGTGTCTACCTGGGTAGCCACCAGCCTCCCTGGGGAGTTGCCACATATTAAGTTAAATTTTCAGAGCTACACTGGAACAGAGCAGATGGGGAATGCAGTGGTTTTGACTGGGAAACAGTGGACATACATGACTGGCATGTTCGTAAACTCAGTAAGCCTAAGACAAAGGCAGGAGTCTAAGTCACACATTCTGTGAAGTTAAGCAAAGATATTTTTCCGCTTTGAGACACGCTTCACTTCCTTTTTTTCTTTTGTTTTGTTTTCTTTTGTTTTACCTTAGCCAATGATGTTTACAAAAACACAAAACCAAGAAAAAAAATCATTCATTATAATTCCTCTGACACATCACTCAGTTCTAGTTCTGGCCCCTTCATAATCCCACCTCTTTTCTCTCCTTTTCTGTGGTTACAATATATTCCATTTTGCTCCTTTCCTTCAGAATATCTTTCACCTTGTTAGGGTTCTGTTATCCACAGCTATTTCTCTCTTTCTCCTTAGTTCAGACAAACCTGGCAAGCTTGCAACTGCACAGAAATAATCCACATCAGAGCTAATATATTATTTATTGATCCTTGTTTAGGACAACAGTATTTTCATGCTGAGATCTCTGTAATAATTTAAGCCCACCTGAGTACATACGAAAGAGATTCATATCTCTTATCCCACCTTTCTCTGAAGAAAAAAGCAATGTACAAGCAATAGCCAATGTTTATTGACACTCCAGCTATGCATCTGTTACCCATTCTGATGCTCCTTAGTTTTTCTTCCTAATTTGTTTTGAAAGAAGAATATAGGACCGTAGAGTAGAAACAAGACAAGTAGAAACTGTTGCATGTTGAACTGCAGTTCTTGCTGATGTGATGCCAAATAAAATGGCTTTGCAAGAGACCTAGATTTGGTTGATGTATTTCTGTTACTCCTTACCACCATGATTTACTATGATGTACAAGTGAGAGACTGCTGCTGTCCAAAGCTGTTGAATTAACAGAATAAATCCCACAAAAAAGAAATTGTCAGGGTAAGGACCAGCTTGAAGTAAGAATATGACAAAGGCCAGTCAGAGTAGAACTTCTAGTTATGTGGGGTGTGATGAATTGCTAAGTAGAAGAATGTATCATGTAGATACCCTTTTGAAGATCCCAGAAGAGAAACATGGGGGGAAATCCTGGCCTTTTCTGAAGTAAACACTAAAATTCCCATTCACTTTGTTAAACCAGGACTTAATTCCTTGATTGAAGCAGAAATCAGTTTTGAAGCTGGGGCAGCAGATGGTTGAGCCACAATTTGGGACACAGATTTCAGGAGTGTAGATAGGATTCAGAAAACACTGGCAATTAGGAATGGAACTAATAACTGAGCTGGCAGATATAAAACTCCTGACATATATCATGTCATTTTAAAATTGAACATCATAAGTACTGTCTTTCTAAATATGGGGTTTTTTAGTTCCTCAGTAGAATAAAAATTTCATACAGTCACATTTACTATGACATCATAGAAAGAGCTTAATGGCCTGTTAAGAGAACTATTATGAAAATAATGAATTTCAGAAGATATTTCCGAGCACTTAATATGCCTAGAATAAAAACATTACAGTTCAACTTTTTCTGAAACTCACTTCTGTGTGCCTAACACTATTGTCACAGCATAATACAGAATATATTAAATTAGTGTAGAATAAGCTCATAAATAAGTCCATTACATAAAATTTGTTAATATGATAAACATTAAAGCACTATTAATGTGCAACAATTTGCTATAAAATGGCATTTAAAATAAAATGGATTAGCAAAATATCTGTCAAAAACTACTGGAAAACATCACCAAAAAACTTCAGACCCCCTAAGAAATAAATTACAGCATAGTTTTCCATGTTAAATTTAGAATTAGGAAATGCTTTCATTCAAATAAGGAAGAAATCTGTGTTTCTTGCTGTGAGAAACTGTTTCATATATACACTATTTATAGTAACGGCATTGCCTTCAGCACCATTCATATGTGACTAGTATGAGCACTGAGCAAAATTAGAAAACCTAACAAGACCAGGTCAAGGTCTGTGAAATAATGTACATTTTACAGGATAAAAAAAACAATCTGGATAAGAGAAAAAAATGGTATGAGCAAACAATAGATTTTTTTGTTCTGGTTTTATTAAATTAGTGGAAGTTGCTTGATGTTCAGTATCTGGAAAAATGAGGCCATTTAATCAGCTTCCTAAAGTTGACTAATCTCAAGTCCTTGATTTCTGTTTGAATCTTGATCATTGTACTTTTGAGGTGAAACAGTTTGAATGGGGATAAAGGGAGAGATTTAGCAGAATCTCCTATTGATAACCCACACCGATCTTACTATATTTTTCCCATACTCATTGGATTAAAAAAAAAAAAATTAAGCTTAAAATTTAACCAAAAGATAAAGGATATTTTATACAATGGGAGAGCAAGTCTTTTCTCTGCATACAGCAGTATTTCCACACACTAAGTGGGATAACAAGTGTGACAACACAGAAGAACTTTTCTAAGTCATAATGATTTGTGTTTCGGTCATATCTTTGTTTTTATAAGGAAAGAAGAGTTCCACAGGTTATCAAATTCTTAAATTTTCAGTTTTTCTGTCTGCTTTCTTTCCAGTAGATACTCCTGTTATAATGGGGATTGTACATATTAAAAATCACTGAAGAGAAACCAAAACATTCATCTTCCATCAGATAACAAATATAGCTGATGGAGTATAAATTCTTTAGAGGGTGAACTAGATGTTGAAAGTAAAGAACATTCTATTTCTATTGAATATTTCTTCTTTGTTATAAAAAGGAAAGTTTACATGTATTGAAGTCCGATTTCACCTTGAGAGGCAGATGGGTTACTATCTCATCCAGATGTACATACCGAGTCTCTTGATCGTCATTCTCTCATGGGTGTCATTTTGGATCAATATGGATGCAGCTCCAGCCAGAGTGGCTTTAGGCATAACAACTGTACTGACCATGACAACACAAAGCTCAGGTTCACGAGCATCTCTTCCAAAGGTATGCAGAATTTCCTATGTTTGTACCGCATTAGTCATAATGCTATGTGGCAAATAAACACCTTCAGTCAACCTTGTAATATGCATCTTAATTATTAGCATTTAAGCATCTTTTAAAGTAGATAAATAACTTTGAAGTATTTAGGGGTTTTTTTGAGCCACTGGTCAAATATATTCTATTTATCTCCTGTCTCAACTATTTAGACAACCACATATATACTAAGTTCCATAAACCTTAGGAAGTGATGAAGGCAATGTTATTGAGTACTACATAAATGCTGCCTGTTAGCAATTGAGTAGCTTGTCCTTTTCCGGATCCCAGTATCTGATGACATGCTAGCAACTATGACTGAATTTCCAGTGGTCATAGATTCCAACCTGTTCTCAATGATATTCCTTTCCCAAAACCTGCCTACATTATGAATTAACTCACTAGTTACAAACACATTTACATTAAATTGTAGGAAAATGTGAAGCTAAATAGCTCCAAACAATTGTATAAAGAATGGTAAACTACAAAATGTAAATAGCTTAAAGTATATTTCTATGATTAACTTATTTAATTTTTCTGACTTGTCATTGCTTTAAAGATTTTCTTTTAAGGGTTATTCCTTGACCATCTTCATGTGCCATTGCAGTTAATAGAAATAAAATGTATACAATAAAAATACACAAAGTCCACTGCTGTATTAGTTTTAAAATGTATTTTTAGGATTGCTAATTAAATTTTTTCTAAGTAAAATAGATATCCTTAACAGAGGTGAACGTGCTTTGTGCCTCAAGTATATGGATACAAATGCATCCAAATGCAGCATCAACAAAGAAAATGGAATGCTATAAAAACTCAGAAAAGCAAGAATGTAAGAGGTTACCAAAGAGAGCTACAGATGTTTTTGTCACATTTCCGAGGCCTGAAACTAGCTATGTTGGCTTATATAGCAAAGCTCTTGTAAATCTGCACACAAAGAGGGAACAGGCCTTACTTTCCTGGTTCAGATTATGTCCTGCATATGTGCTTGGCAATAAAGGTTTGCAATGAGTTCATCTACTCTGTAATTGATTTTCAGTACTTCCACTGGGTCAAAATGACCGGACTAATTTGAACCTGTATCTTTGATTTACCATGCCTATATTAGCAGAGAATGAACGTATCAGAGTTCCCCACCTATCTCCCTTCTTCTACCTAAATTCTATTCCTATTCTTTAAACCAGATCCATTATAATACAGGAATTCCCGCTGGTCCCACTATAAGCTATCCTCTGGTTCCTTAGTGTCATTCACAGATCTCAGTGGGACAAATCGAGGAAGAGCATGTGCTTCTCGTGGATTATTTTTTTTGTGATAAAATACACAGTACACTATGAGGAACTGTTAATGACATAAACAGTAAACATATTTTGTGAAAGACTATATTTTTTAAAATAATATTTAACACTTATAGATTGAATTGTTGTCCCTCTTATTTTCTAGCTTTCATGTTAACTTTTGTTTGATAAAAGTAGCGTTGGGACATGGAGATATTAATGCACTTCCTCCTGACATGAAACACTAAACTTCACATCTGTGGTTTTAACATATTCAGTCTTCTGCTCTATTCTCTCCATAGGTGTCATATGTCAAAGCAATTGACATCTGGATGGCTGTGTGTCTGCTCTTTGTATTTTCTGCTCTTTTGGAGTACGCAGCTGTAAACTTTGTGTCAAGGCAGCATAAAGAACTTCTGCGATTCCGCCGCAAGAGGAAGAAGAACAAGGTAAAAGTAACAGTATGCACAACTTTGAAAGAGAGACTGAGATTGATTTATGCCAGGATATAGGGTTAATTTGGTAAACATACTGCAGCTTAAAGTGGCAGTATAAATAAAATGGCAGAGCAGAATGAAATTCACTATAGGCAGAGGGTCACTACAAGGGCTATGCACTGCATAAATCCAACTTGAATTCTTGAAAGAGGGATTAAGAGGGATTTAAATGAGGCATGGGCCATGTGGGAGCCATCTGCACAAGCATGAATTTCACTCTGTTAGAAGAGTCAGATTATACTCCAGTGGATGAATGTTACTGGCACATGCAGCAGTTTGTACTACATTGAGATTCAACAAATAATATTTCTTAATTTCATTCTAGTATTCAGTTCAAAGCCTTAACAGGTGTGTTTCATGTAAATATTTTTTAATACAAAAAATACTTATTCAATTAATATTATTGGTGGAAGAATAAACATTTTACTTTAAAAGGCTTAGAAGTTTCTTTTTTCTTTTTTCCTTCTGTTATTTTAGTAGAAGTTAGTAGAAACTGTTTATATGAGTAGTAAGAAACTTTAGTACAGCAATGGTTATTAATATTTATTTTATAGCTGAAGCTATCTAGACTGCCAGTAAAATGCATAGCTACCAATGTGCAAAGTCAAACAGCTAAGGCTACAGGTTTGAATTCTGAAATCTGCAGTTAAGCAATAAGCAAAATTTCTTATAACAATATGTAACCCCTGCTTCTGATTTTTCAAAGAGTAAATATTTCTCCAACCTACTCGTTAAATGAGTACCCACCACTGATGTCATGTAGAGCCTTTCCACTGGCTTTTGGTCACTATTTAGAAAATTACTGTGAATGAAAGTCTGACCATAGCAACATGACTCAGTTCAGCTGTCTTTTGTTCTTGAAGAATTACCTCAATTTACAGCTTACATCACAAAACATTTTACAGGTTGTTTCCATTTGACTTAAAAGATACTGAAAATCTGTAATGCTGTAAAGCCTACCTAAGCAATCTCTGCTAGCAAGACTCCATGTTAAAAGGCAGGCTTGACAGTCAAATGAAAATGATATTTTGCCTGTTCCTGTGTGTCAAGTCCTAGATTTTTTCAGGGGCAGAGAAAAACTCATGTACTGTAGCCTAGAGGATGATTCAGATTGCATGTACCTGCTTTCAACATTTGTCCCTGTGAAAAATGTCCTTTTTTTTTCACTGACAGTAGCAGAAAAAATGCTTTCTGAGACACACAGGAGGAAAGCAGCATTTGTGTGACAGGGTGTTTGTTTTTGAAATATGGCAGCTCTCTGAAAGCTGCTTTAAGGTTTGGAATGGGGGGAATGGAATGGGCAAAGACGGATTACTGGACGGGGGGCAGGTGAGCCACAACAAATGCGTCATCTATCAAATACAAACAGCTGTGGTGAGTGATACATTATGTGACCATACTTTCAGTCCTTTCTTTTTTTCACCATGTATTACAGTGCCTTCTGCATCTCAGGCAAATTCACCATATTCAACTGTAGTGATGTCTTTTCACTCCCTTAAATACAGGCCAATTATTACAACCACAGGGTTAGAAACTGGCAAGTAATATTACCTTCCTTCCTCAGAATCAAACCAAATCTCTTTCCAGCCCCTTCTTAGCAAGACTTCAAGCTCACCAAAGATACTTCTTCAGCAATCACAATTAATCCAATTTCAGTTTAGAGGTATATGAGGAAGGATCCACAATATACAAAGCACTTCTAAGAGAAGACCACTTAACAAAAAAGTATGCATATGAATAGTCTCATTGACTTAAGTGTTTTGCTGGATCAACTCTTGACATTATCATATTTTTGAATTCACACTTAAAAGTCCTTATTCTATTTTTACTAGCTCCAGGTAAGTTGTCCGCTAGGTTCTCATAAAATTAGCGGGTTAGACTTAGAGACTGCAGGGTCTACAGTAAAGTGTCAAGTACTCATCTTAGATTCTGAAGGATGAAGGCATGCTTTTCAATGCTTTTCTTCATAACATACCCAGGTGAGGGTATTAACTATATTCAGGGATATATGACTTTCCCTTCATCCCTGTATCTGTATGTTTCATCATGAGACAGGTTTCTCAGCCTAAATTGACCAAAAAATGTTTTGTTCCCATACAAGGTTCTGATTTTGACAAATAGACATTTTTGTGAAAAGATTAATTTAACTGAATGTTTCTTGATTGACTCCAATTCTATGTAAAGCCAGAACTCCTGGTCAGAGTTAACCGTTGAGAATATACCTTCTCAAGCTCTAGAGACAGTTCAGCTAATTGCTTCTCTTTTTCTCAATGTTTTATTAAACCATTCCTTGCCCAACAAGTATACTAGAACTTGAAATGTTACAGCATGGAGATTTTATCTCTTAAAATCATTTGGATTGCATCCTAAAACCTCTGGTATACAAATAATAAATGATGTCTTACGGATTAGAGAAAGCAGTTAATAACTAGCCTTCCTTACCACAAATATTATTTATGCACCACAATTTCTAATGTGAAATGCAGGCCCTAGGATCATAAGTCAAATTAACTTGTGTTTCCTTCCTTTTTTGTCTCTTTCAAAGTCAGGTACTACAGCTCATGGTTATAAAGTTTTGTGTGTGTTTGTTATCCCTTTGGATTAGGTCAAACAGCCACTGGCTCTCAGGAATTAAATTGTATTCACTTTTAAAACTACCATGTATAAGGAAATGTTCATTTGACCACAAAGTCAAAAGACATGAAAAGAAGTTAGGTCAAAAGGCTGCATTTAAAATAAACTTCAGGGGCTTCCTTGAACATGAAATCTTCTCTCTTTTCAAAGTGAAAACTGCTATTCTAGTCATTATTTATGTCCAAATGGATGAGAGAAATAGAGCAGTTAGGATAACTTATTAGAATTTTTCAACCTATATGCTTACCATCTTGGGATGTTTTACTAGGATTAGGTTTTTCTACCAGATGAATTCCAGCCAATGAATACAGAATTTTTTGGTGTTGGCATTTTATCTGCAAGGGTACAGCAAAATTCCTAGTGATTCAACTGTGTTGCAAAAGTCCAAAAATAGATGGGTTTGGAAATGTTTCATTTCAGGTATATGTTGACAGAAGAGAATATGTATGACTAATATCTAATTGCAATAGAGCAGCTGAAGAGTTTCCAAAGTCTATTTTCTTTGTAATCAAAAAGACATGCTTGTTGCAAGAAATATTTATTTTTACCAAGTAACCCTAGCAACGGTCAGACGATTGAATTTCAGTGCTGGAATGCCCTTTGGGAGGTCAGTGAATCCATTTTCCTGACCTAAGTCAGGATCAGTTATACCTAATTCATCACAGTCAGAAAACTTCCACAAGCTCCCCTGCAATCTGTTCCAATGGTTTAGAAAGTTTTTTACTCATGCCGTTTTTGGCCTCTCATGGCTTGTCTAGAAGGGGCACAGAGAACAGACTACTTTTTTTCCTTTATGTAGCCATTTGCAAATTTCCATTCAGTCTTCTTTTCTTTAAATATTCCCAGCTGGTACAGTCTCTTTTTTGCTCATTCTCCTTGCCTGGAAATTCTCCTCATAAGTCCATACAATTCCTCAAACCTGCATTTGCAACATGAAGCCTAGCCAGTAACAGTTGAGAGCAGCCAAATGATCACATCATGCAAGTTATACACTTTATGCAAACCAGTTTGCCATTTGCCTTTTTAAAAACAGCATGGTATTGACCCATATCAAGATTGCGACCTTCCATAACTCCCAGGTCTTTTTCCAGAACTGCTGCAGAGCCGTTTACTTTCTATCTTTTGTTTGTGAAGTTGATTACTCTTAGTTAAATGCAGTACCTTGTATTTGCACCTACTTGTATTTTTCAAAGTCTTTGTCCACATCATTGAATTCAATTTTAACTCTAAACATATCCTAAAACAAATTTGCAGATTTCTCCCAGGTTGGAGTCTTTTGTAAATTTAATCAAAACTATGCGTTATTCCTTCTCAATGCTGATTAAAAACACAGGAGAACAGAAATCTCTCTCTTAAAAAGCATACGGTTGAACTCAGATAAAACCACTGCAGTAAACGGGTGTAGCAAACAAAATAAGAGCTGCTGAGATTTATAGAAAATTATACAGTTATACAAAATGTAATTGTGTACAGAGCTGTATCAAGACATTTTGGCATGCAAAGCTCATCTATCCTTGCCATTTTCCTTATGCTTTTTCCACCTACAGTCACTGCCTCTTTCTTACACCATCTAGTACATTTGCAGCCTCCCTTCCCAGACAACAGTAACAGCAGCATCAAAGGTGATTCTTAGGTATAACTGCACCCTCTGGCTACTGTTTTTATGATTGTAAGTATGGACCTCACTCAATGATTCCAAATAACTGAAAGGCAAATTTCTTTTTAGATGCCAAATCCAATTTGTACAGAATTAACAAAAATTTCAAAGTGCCTGGGATTGTTTTATAAATATATTTATAAATAAAAACTGTTATTGCAACATAATATGCAACCTACTCATTGCTGTTTTCCAGTAGGTATCACAATAGGTATATGAGATTTTTCAAAAAGGGACTCATTTCTTTATGATTACACAAATGGCATAATGATTCCTGAGAACAGGGGAATTTTGGTTCCCAATCTGAGACTTCATTTGGTAGTCAGTATATGATCCATAGTACTTTGTCTGTCAGAGAAAGAAATCTGGCCAATGAACACAACTATATCAAAAATATTATATTAGCAATGTGATGGAAACATTCCTTCAGAATGAATGAATATTAATTATTCATTTACAGTTACACTCCTTTTGGTCTTGAAAGACAAAAGGAAAAAAATGGCAGAATTAGAAGTCATACAAGGATACTGAAACACACATATGACCAGTGCTTTTTCTCACCTGCATTTACACTGTATGGAGAAAAACATTAACTGTGTACATATACTGAATAATACTTTGATTTTAGATTAGGTTTTGATATATTTAGTTTTAAGGAATAGTCAACCTTTTAATTCTATTTTCAAAAATCTAAAGATCACCGTATCTTTAGTGAGGAAAATAGACATGCAAACTAGATTGTCTTTAATGGTAATCACACCTCTTTTCTTTTGTTTTCTTTTTGGTCAACCCATCCGTTTTGATGAAAGTATTTTGAGGGAGTTCTTGATGGAAATGAAATCAGTGAATCATTGCAGCATAGCAATGGCTTGAGATGCACAGGACCTATAGACGGGACTTTGCCTCAAATCTACAGTACAAATTTAAGGGTAAACTACGAAGAAGATGTCCCATTTGTCATAATGTGATATCCAATCATTAACAGAGGCCCTGTCCTTTTGTCTGAAATAATGTCTTCCCATGTGAACTCCATATACCTTCATTTCTACCTCTATGTGATGACGTGAAATGTTGATATAGGTACCTGTTCTGTTAATTTTGCAATCCATTTTGATCTGTTTAAATCTGGATTACACCATAGTATTAAAATTTTACTTTTGCAACTTCAAAGGAAGAGTGACATGAATTCAAGGAGAAATCAGTTGCTACCAGATCAGCATTTAAGATCAAGGTGTTTGTAGTGCAAAACAATTCAGTAACATTTTTCTTCTCAAAAATGAACAGTAAAAAATATAGAGGTCAAATAACCAAAGCCAAGGTTTCAAATAAGTATTCAAGTTGTTACCAGAACCTATAGTTAAAAGGCTATGGAGATATTTGCAGCCCTTATGCATATTACCCCTCAAGAGAAACATATTATTAAATAGATGGACAGAAAACAGCATAGTCACAGGGCCACAGAAACTGACAGCTTTCTAATACTTTATAGCTAAGTATTTTGTAGAACAATGCTATTACAAAAATAAACTAATCGAAATTATTTCCTTCAGGCCTCCAAAGTATTCTAACTTTCTAAATAAAAATTATCTAAATTTATTTCCATTCTTTAATAACAGTAATTTTAATAGAGATGATAAAATATTTATATATAGCTGTATGCAGAATATTGTTAATGCCAAAGTTGTATGTGTGAAAAGCGCATTCATACTGAACCTTTATTAAAGTTCATTCATAATAAGATTTTAAAAGCTTTATCAAAAATCAGTAAGAAATCATTAATTTTCTTTTCTTTAGTGATGATGCACTAAACAAATACACAAAAAAACAAAAACAAAAAAAAGCTTCCTTATTACATTTAAAAAAAAAAATTTCAACCAAAATGCAGGACTTTTCCAGGAAGATTCACTGTCCAGATTCTCTACTGGGACACACAAGGTACTTCCATTAGATGATTTCAACAGCTGTAAACTCAGACACGAATATTATGAGAAATATTTCTAGTCAAAAAGAGGGACTTTAGCCAAGTCAATTGATAAAAACAAATGGGGTGTCACTGATATTTTATAAAAATGCTTTCGAAAAAGCACTCAAAAGTTAATATCAATAATAACAGTAGCTTCATCTTTCCTGCTGCACACAAGCACCCTCAGATGTGAACCTGAGGCCAAATTAATGATTTTTCTGCATTATGAACCTGCTGAAAAACTTGAAGCAGCACAATTTGGATATTCCAGCTGGTACCCTGGTAAAAAAAGTGTGGTGGTACCTGGCATGTTACAATGCTCCAGAAGGTGCCCTTTCCTGCATATCCGTTAGCCCCAGCACTTTGGTCTGACTTGGCAGGCTCCAACCATCCTGCCTGCCCTCATGGAGACACCATCCAACAGGCACTGGGCAGACATGCTAGACTCCTAGAAGGACCTTCACACCACTACCTCAACAACAGAGAGCATTTCCAAGCAGCCTGCTCACAGACTAAATTCAGGATGTCCGCAAGCAAAAAAATAAGGAAAGACCTGGCATTTAAAACTATTCTAGGGGATCGCTCACTTCAGGTAAGTGTAGAACAGAGACAGTAAAGTCTTAGTATATGGGGCCTCGTCCTGAAAACATACCCAACCTAAAGCTGCTACTCAGAATTATTATTTTATTACCTTTTTGAACCTGTGCAAACATAAGCATTAGTTTCTGGAGAAGCATAAAAAGATTTAAACCGTGAATCGTACTTATGAGGGTGTTCAAATGGCAAGTTTAGTGTAAATTCTCACAGTCCATGTATTTGTAACTTCTGTTAACTGGAATAAAACACTACAACTCTTCTGGAATACAATTACTATAAAGATGTAATTTCCCATTCTTTTCTCACAAGAGAAAAACACTATTGTAGGAATTAGATCTTTGTTTTATCACGTCATCAAACAATGATCCTATCATTTTGTATTTCTGTTATTCATTTCCATATTGAAGTCAGTCAGTGATTTTTCCTCCTCCTTTTCTTTCATGTTAATTTTTCTTTATTTTTTGTTTTTGTAGGAGAATTCTAATACATATTTGAAGTATAGTAGTTTCAGTGAACTATATTAGTCTATAAGTTTATTCAATTTACATATATAAAAAAGTATTGCAGTTGAGTAACAACTACAGCAGCCGGGTGATAACTACAGCTCTGCTGGATGCTTGTGCTGATTGCCAATTAGTTCACTTCAGACTTAATAATTGATCTGCATTGTTTTGTAGATAACTTATTCAACTAATATTGATAATAAACATCATTGGAATTTTTTAAACAAAGAAATTAACAATGGTTCTTCTAGCAAGTACTACTTAACTGAAACTTAGTATGTTTAGAATTAATTCTCCATTCTGAGACATTTTCAGATTTTCGAAATGTCACAGGCATTTTCAAAATGAAAAATCTGGAAGTTTGGATTTAAACTGTGTTCACTGAGAAATAACATTTGAATAAAGCAAGAGGTTTAAATAAAACAAAAATGCTTCAGAATTATGGAACTGAAACACTAATTATTTGACTTGCTTTGGTAAATAAATTTTTTTACCCTTTTATTTTAATTTAAGCTAGGAAGAACTTCAAACTATCAAAAATTCTCTTACAAAAGGAAAACTGACTGTCGCTCAATTCTTTTTTTTAATACTTATGGAAATTATTTTCCAAAATACTTATTTAGGAAATAACATATACATAATACTTTGTCATACTTCATAAAAGTCTAGCATCCTAAAGCAACTAGGCTGAATTAGACATGAAAAATAGGAAATCCTGAATTTAAAATCAGTATTAAAAAAAAATTGTGAATGCCATAAATCACATGACTATCCTTCAGTAACATACACAGTGAGGGAATACACTGGAATATATTTCAGAACCAAATTTGGCCCTGGCTTCACAGTCTGTGTATCATTTATTTGCCTGCATTTCTACCTCCTTTATTACTTAAGAATACCTATAACCAGGTAAAGAGAAGTACAAAATGTGTCTCCAGACAGAAGCCACATTCTTGAAATGCATGCTATGAAAATATGTATATCTTCAGACCATCTACTTTTATTTCTTTGCCATGGGATTACAAACCACTTTCTCTTATAGCTCCCTGAATTCAGAATGTCTTTGCCAGTTTTGCCCTGAACTGACAGAAGAATGAGTCAGAAGAAAAATCTGTCCTTTAGCTTTCATTCACTTTATTTTAAACTAAGACTCTTTACATACTATTCTCTTTATCTGATGTATTCACAGGGAGCAGCAGAAACAAGGCATACAGATAAGATTAACTAAATATACAATGACCAAATAGGCAGAATTCTCACTAATATAATTAACATGACTATCATTAGTGCTTGTATGATGAGTATCTCTACAGGGCAGGATCCCATTTTGTTAAGCAATGTACAGAGTTAATGGCTGTTGTCTAAAAGACCAGTGTGAAGTTTGCCTGGTTGAAGACTGCGGATATTTACTGTATATGGGGACAATCAAAACAAATCAGAAGTTGTGTGCCTGATTACCATTAGTTTACTAAGCTTTCTCTTTTCTCTAAATAGATTACAGAATCTATAAATAAATAGGAAAATTCTGTGCTTGTGAAAGCTGCTGCAATATTTTTGACAGACACTGACAGGGCTGAAATTTCAACTAGTTAAGATAAACTGTGGATTCAAGAAGTCACTGAGGTAATGATGTAATACTTGCTATTTAGCAGCTGGTAAGATTTCTGTAAATAAAAAAAACTTCTTGCTTTTTGTCTTCTTTTCCTTTTTCTTTGCCTTTTTCTTTTGCTTTTGCTTTTTTTCAACAGGATGATGATGTGAGGGAAAGTCAGTTTAGTTTTACAGCATATGGAATGGGCCCATGTCTGCAAGCAAAAGATGGAGTGACACAAAAGGGGCCAAATAATCCTGTTCAAGCTGCACCAAAAAGCCCTGATGAGATGAGAAAAGTATTCATTGACCGGGCCAAGAAGATAGACACAATATCCAGAGCTTGTTTCCCATTAGCCTTTCTGATTTTCAATATTTTTTATTGGGTAATTTACAAAATCATCAGGCATGAGGACATTCACCAATAACAAGGTTAAGGCTTGCAGTACATACAGATCTGGCTGTCATATTCAACAGGAGGCTTTCTGTTAGAAAAGCGCTTCGGAGGAGTGATTGGGAGAGTTAAAAACATTGAGGGGGGAAAAAATGATCCTGCATGGCCTGCAATGTCCAGTCACAGTGGAATGGAAGAATGGCACCCAGAGAAGATATATCTGCTATTGCAAACTTTCTGTGTCAAACTAAATATTGACTTTTTCATTGTAAATCACTCTCTACTGAAGCTTTACTGCCAAGTATTTATACATACTGTTACATGGTGGTATAAATGTACAGTACTCTTTGATGTTCCTTATTTTTTTTTTTTTTAAATTCTGGTGTATTTTTAATTGAAAAGAAAAATGGATCCAGAATACCCTAGGTAAATCCCACAGTATTACAGAATAGATTAGTATTTGTAACCTTTATTTCAATTTTACAAGATAATGACAAATTACTAATTTGAGCTTACAGTTTTAAGGACTTTTTCTTGTCTTAAGGACCGTACATGTGGTTTTGCAATGAACACATTTGACACATTTAAGTTATATAATTTATTCAATGTACTTCATATTACTGTTCCCCTGGAAGGTGTATGTTGAAATAATCTCAGAGAGCACAAAGTATCTACAGCCTAATAGTCTGCACAGAACATGGGAAATATATTAAAATTTGTAAAGTATTGATTCCTGCAAAGGATTTTTTTTCTTTTAATTACCCACACTTTGATAATTGAAACTTATTTTTTTAATCCTTTTTATATTTTTGAAGGGTTTTTTCCCTCAACTGATAAAACTCATACAGCTTTTGAGATAGACAAATTATATCAAAATTTTGCAATGCTTCATTTTGATTCAATGCAAAGAGATCTTGGACCAAAACTAAAAGAAAATAGCCAACTGCTTCACTGAAACATTTGGAGGGTCAGTACAGCTGTGTTTATGCACATTTATCTCCTACATGTTACATAAATACAGGAAGTTTAATTTACGAATGTATCAAGTTTTCTGTCTCATTCTTTGAAGTATATTGATATGACTTATATACCAGTCAAGAAGGACTTCACAGCTTTGGAAAAACATGCAGCTCTTCTGAAAAAGAAGAAACGTGAAAAAGAATCTGGATGGTCTTTTACGTATGATTCTATGATTTATTGTACTTCACATTAATAAATAGGAGAACAACTATTAAAACTCTCAGAGAGATTTTCCCTGTTTAGCATTAAATAAGTCATCTTAGTTGCTTCTTTGAATTATAACACAATAGGTCACATTTATGGCATAGCTTGTAGACAAGAGTGTTTACTTTTGCCAATCTTGTCTATTGAAAAACAAAAACATGCTAAGATATGGAAATCTGACATTTAGAATTACTAGATACTTTAAGTCCAGCAGCACAGGCTGTTTCTCATTGCAAAATATTTTTATTTTGAACATGTTTTAAATTTTGGAATGTGTATACAAAAGCAAAATACAGCTGGAGGCAAACAGCTGGTGCATTGCCAAAGGCATGGTGCATATGAAGCAACAGAAGCAAAGTAACTCTGCAATGAGGATTATAACATAGCAGCCTTGGGTTTGGTTGGGTTTGTTGTTGTTTTCCTCCAAGGATTAGTTAAAGAGATTCTAAAATAGTAGCTCTCAGATTTTGTTCAGCTGTGTCAGAAAGAAGCTGTATAATCCTCCTTTATTTTTTCATAGCTTTGCTTCATTTATGATCTATATTATGAAATGCACATTCATTTATGAAAAGAATACAATTAACTTTAAACAATTATTGTTTGCTGAGGTTGTGTCTTGTTTTTGTTGATTTATTTATGAGCATGTTCCAAAAAATCCTTTTCACTTGTGAAGGTGCTCACCTGTGTGAGGGGATATCATGAACTAATGGCTGACATTTCGGTTGGGTTATATTCGTCTCTTTCAAAGTTATCATTAGCTGTATGATATGAAAAGGAATGTTAACTTGTTTCTGCTATCAGTGAAGTCAATGGTATTTTGTTTAAGGACTGTTTGAAGTACTGGATCCATAGTCAAGAGGCAATCATAAAAAATTACATTCTCTTTCAGGCTCATCTCTCTTCTTTCCTTCTAAAATAGCTGACTCACATTCAATAAAGAATTCTTAATTGAAGTGGTAAGTGTATAAAAAAATGCTGACCAGATCAGAATAACCCCTAGTTATTCCAGTTTATAACACTGGAGTACCTGGTTCACATTGCCTCTTTCTCAGTCATTCAATAGTCTGTCACTCTCTCACATGTAGTGCTACCTTGTTTTGAGAACATTAACAAATTTGAGTGATGCAGAGCTAAACAAATTTAGCCCTAATTTCTTTTTTCACTCTTGAAGGTAGAAAAGGTCTATGCTCTCAAATAGAGAAATCAGACAGGAAATCTTGAAAGTTATAAGAGAGATTAGATTACAGCACAAAATGTAACGGAGTCAGATGGAGTATAGATTATTAATCAAGAATGACAAGATCATTCATTCATATGTGAACTTATTACCTCATTGAGGGGGAATAACCCTTGTGCAACATTTCTCTTTGACTAGAATACACTAATTTAAGGAAAAATTACAGCATAGAGCATATAAAAAAATAAAAAGCATAAATTACGTTATAGTCCTTTTCTGACCCCTTGATAGATTGTTACCTATACGTTCTATTTAAAATAAATGAGATCTGTAGATTTAATGACTGGACCTAGTGTCTAGTGTTGCCTCTCAGGATGCACATCTTCAGCCATGCACTATGGTGAGAGAGAAGAGGGTCTCAGACCTGGCCAATAGAAAGTATGTCCCTTCCTCTACATAGTCATATTTCTCTTTCATAGGCCGTTACATTGGGAAGTTGAGCATACCCTACTTCTATACTGAAAGTTTACATGTAATGCTCAGTCTTCTAACAGGGCACATTGAAAATAAAGAAAATTAAATATGTTTAAAACATCGTTATGAAAACTCTACAGTGTTGCTGGAACATTATTTTATTTACTAATCCATTAATAACAGAAGTATTTCAAACAGAGGGGAAAAGCAAAAAATGGTTCCATGATGGTGTTTTCAAATGCACATAACATTTGGCATGTCATTCTGCTGCTCTCAGGTAAGTAAAGTTTTTCTATTTTGATGTAATGGAGCCAAGATCTCTCCTGAACTGATGGGTTTGTGGTTTTTTACCGGAAACATAACATTTGTTAAGATAACAAAAGCCTCTGCAGTCCACTAAATAATGTGTTTTTCAAAAGAAAGCAGAACTTAAAATTTAAATTTCATTTAGATTATTCCTAAATGACTTAGTGTAAAGTCACATGGTAAAGAAAGAGAGAAATGTCATTTGAGATGATAAGAAAATTCAAGACACAAATGTCTGCTAGTCACCACTGACTAGGGGAAAAGTCCAAAAATGCCAACAGGCATGCCAGCCCTTTGTCCAAAGCTAGAATCAGCTGTCATCAGGTGATTAGTGTGGGAGATGATTCTCTGTATAATGAAGTAGAAGGGAATAACAGTAAGAGTATGCAAGAACTGAAAGGTACTCTGCAGTATTTATCAGACTGCAGTATTTATGCTACAGTCCTGTGAAAGAAGCAGTGGAGCAGCAGAAAAATAATCATCAAGGAAATAATGCTTGAGGCAGATGCCACCTAGCAGGGCTTTCCC